AGTTTCAATTTCAAATTTTAAAAAGTGGGAAATCAACTTCACAAAAAGAGATTCTATAGAAAAGCATCTGTTCTAATAAGTATTTTAATACCTACCATCTCCAGGCAACATGGGCCTACATGCCATGGGGGACTGCAAGTGATATACAGCTCCAATGGAACTCTTCCTCAAATCTTGGGATACCAGTATTAATTAATAACTTACATTAGGTAACATTTACAAATGTTTATTGTATTCTCATCTTTTTCCTCTTTATTTGAGGAGTTAAGTATAGGGTGACAAAATATGGAAGTCTACACTTTTAAATGGAAAAATCATCTCAGATTACTTAGATTAAATATTTTAAAATCAGGTATTCTAGTGATAAACAGTATGTTAAATCTTCATTAATTCAAAAATTCTAAATCAGTGTTTTCTAAATTAGGGGCTACTAGGTTGTATATGATATGAAGATAAGTTATATGATGAAAAACATTTGATAGCCATTAGCCCATATAATTCTTCATACTTTTATAATAAAGTATAATATCACTCTATAGTTGGCCCAGTTATTCAGGTTTTTCTGATATTAAGAAAGACCTGGAAAGATAAGGCTCTTCTGACATAAATTGACATCAGCAAAGCCATTTAGATATATGTTATTTACCATTCTACTCTTCAAAAAGTTTTCCTAAAGTCAATGTTTATTGTGTTTCATCAACTATCACTGTCTTAACAAATAATATTTAATTGCTTGACATTTTTGATCTTACTAATTTCTTTTTACTCAGGATCATGTCCTATTAGCTAAATTCTATAAAATACTTGGAATCTACTAATATCAGATTGTTTTTAACCCTACCGTAATCTAAATTCGATTAAAGTACCAGGCTGTGTTTATATGATGCATTGTAACATATTCTGCAAATCTTGGATGATAGCTGACCTTTAATTATTTCCTTATTCTGCTCGGCTCCCTCTTACACTCGTTATTTATCCCATCCCATGACCTGTAATCTTATGGATCACACTTCCCTCCTTGTCCCCATTCTCTTTTTTATTAAACTTCTTAAATGCCGTCACTGAAATCGAGCTTTTTTCCAGATGACACTTTGTGCCTTATAAGCCCTCTGTTTCAATTTGTGGGAACAGTCAGCCTATTTTAGGTTTCCCTATACTACTTAGATCGTCATCATCTCTCTGAAATCTATGCCATCTGATTAGGTCATCATTGGCTGTAATAATAACTTCCACTTTCCTATATGAATCAGCATGTTCTTCTGGCCTGGTCTCCTGTTATATAGATCTTTTTCAAAACCCATATTGATATCCTATTCAATGTCTCTCAATTCAGTGGCTTAGAGCTTTTCTCCATTTCTGTTTGAGTCACCCAACAGCATGGCCACACCTTGGATCAGCTCTTGAATGAAGCAATTCTTTCTGACTAGTGTCTTCTCTTTTTCCTTATATATTTTGAATTCGCCCTTTTATCTGTTTTTCACTCTAATCCTATATTTTAATTACTTTACCCCTTCTGTTTTCTCCACTCCATTAGTTCCCTGCTAATGTCATTTCCACTTAGAACCAATAGTCAATCTAGTATTCCTTATCCCTTGACGTTTTGCTGTGCCAGTATGGTTTTCTCTCCTACTTTTTCTTTCTCTGCAATAGTTCCATGTGTTACAGTTCTAAATTACAGGGAAATGCAACCTAATTGTTTGAACTTTGTATAATGTAATCTTTTTTCTATTAGAATCGTTTCGATTTTAAAATCAGGAACCTTACTGGCTGTGTCTACTGTCAACTGCCTGACTTTAACCGGACCTCTCTACTTCTCAGTACAGTATATTCATTTATACCTCTGCTTTTTACGTGTTCCAAATGTTTTTCCATATTCCAATTGCTTAAATCTAACATCCCTTCCCAGGATATGACCTTGCCTCCTACACTTTACTAGAAAAAGATAGACTCCATCTGCCAAATTCTCATTCATCTTCTTTATCAAAAATATCTGTATCCATGCTATGCTCAAATTTATTTTAACAAAGAGACTTGTAGATTATTTTAAACTTTCTCTGCAGACCTTCATGTTTTCCTTCAACTATCTTTTCTTCCCTGTTTACTCAGAAGTATGTGTCTTCCTTTTCAGGGTTAACCTGTGTCTTCTAGAGCTTTCCTTAACAATTGAACTCTCCTACTCTCCTCCATTTACCATTTCACCCTCTCTAGTTCATTTCTGACCAGCAGAATATTAAATCAAACTGTGAAGGGTCTGAGATTTTACCCTACTTGAACGCTAACAGATTAGCTTGTCACAGTTTTTTAAACATATTCCGACAGAAAACACAAGACCCATGGGTCAGAGAAAAAGACCATTTATTGCTCATGGCAAAAACAACAACCAAAGCAGTGTCTTGCATTATGTGCCAAGCCCCAATTCCCATAAAGCAACACAGTTGGAGCCAGATGTTACCTGTGCATGGAACAAGGTGTGTTACAGGAGAGGAACTCCAAAAGAAGGAAGAAAGACAGACCTTATCTTTACTCTGGAATGTAAGCAAATTTTCACCAAGAAGGGAAGAGGCTTTACTCCCCTGAAATTTCTCCAAGGATAGACATGTACTCTATATTAAACTAGTCAGGGAACAAAATCTTCCCTCTAACATTAAGGTAGACTCTACCTCTCGTTTTCAAGGTTGTTTGTCATGGAAACCCCTTTGCTCAAAAGACCTGGGCCATGCAGAAACATGCAATATTCATAGAGAATCGTTTCCCAACGCAAAATTTCCCAGGTTTCTCTTATCTTCAAATATAGTTTATACTCACTGCCTTTGTTATCTTATTTTCTGTTAACTCCTTGTACTTTTGCTCTGTCATTTACTGAAAACTATTCTCTCCAAGGTACCTATGACATACTGGTAACCCACTCAATGGTTTTTTAAATTGTTCTTGACTTTTTGCAGAATTTAACAAGGGCTATACTTTCTTCCTTTTACCTCTAAACTACTCCACTGTTTTCTGTGACTAATCTGATTCTCAGATCTCTCTGCCTTACCCATCTCTCTTTTCTTTACTCTTTGTGCTTTTTCACTATAACTATTAAATGTGAACATATCATAGGTTGACTTCTCAAATTTATATTTGTTCCCTCAAATGACTTTGAGTTTCAGCTGTCACCTCTACATATGACTCTAATTTCCTTCCTATATTCTAAAAGTTACCTGCCTTCTCAATATTTCTGCCTGTATGTAATAAATTTTAAAACTAAGAATAAATTCTGTGACCTGATTTTTTAAAAATTGTGTCTGGGGCTCTCGTTCTATTAATTCTTTAGATTCAAAACTTGAGAGTGTAGTTGAGTGGACTCACTTAAATTCAACAATCTTTTAACTGGAGACAAGAATAAAGGAAAAGTAGTAAAATGAACAATTATCCTCTGAAGATATGGATAGAGTTACGAATGGAGGCAAAAACAAAACAAAACAATAAAAAGCTGTTGTATTAATCCTCTGTAGTAACAGAGACAGAGAAAATGGATACATCTGAGAATGATTTAAGTGATACAGTTTAGAGACTAATAGGATAATATTTTAGACTCCTGTATTACATCTAACTTCTGGTAAATTGGTGGTACTATATACCAAGATAGAATAGATATGAATAGATGAACACAGGCTGCTATATTTGCTTGAACATTTACCTATCAAACACTCATTTACCCTTCATTTACCTTCAAACACTCATTTACCTTTAGAACTCGGCTCAAATGTGACTTCCTTTGAGAAGTCCTCCCTAACTTTTTTTGGTTTCTTTTTTTTTTAAATTTTTTTGTTGTTGGGTTGTCTTATTTTTGTTTGTTTGTTTTATGGGTCTTTTTAGTTCTTTTTCTTTTTTCTTTTGTTTTTGTTTGTTCGTTGTTATTGTTCATTTTCCCTAACTCTTTACACAGTCTTTCCCCTTTTGCCTCTTAAAATTTTTTAGACTGAATTAGTCTTTCTCTCATCCTAGATATTGTGATAGCATCTTTTGCATTGATATCACAATGTGTCAAAATAGATGGTTTATTTCTTCTATACACTGAGCTCCTTAAGAGCCAAAACAGTTACTGTATTTATGAATCCATAGCACCTTTTTATAGTGTGTGCTCAGTAAATGTTTGAATGAAATCAGTAACGTATCAAGTACTTACACTGTTTTTCTTTATAATGTTTTGCACTCGCCTCTTTCCAAGCCCTCAAAGTTCATACCCTATTTCATTAGTCTTATGAAATAGGTAGGGTCTTTCTAGTCTTTAGTATTGATACCAGACTAATGAAATTCCATAGTTTAGAGTGCCTACATAAAAACCTTTAATATCTTTCCATTATCTAAATAATGAAGTCCCAATTCACCAGTAAGGAATTGAGACCTTCCATGCTATGCTCTCAAAATTTACCATGTTTATTTCAAATTCTACTTACCTACCTACATAACTTTGTTCCACGAGTATATAAGGACCTGCCTTTTGCATATGATATATGCTCATAAAGATATATCTTTGTGATCATTTTTTGGTCTCTTGTTTCCTTTCACTACTTCATTTCATCATAGAGGAAAATAATCTTTGGAGAACACTCAGCCATATTCATATAGTAAGTAGTTCCATTTTAGGACAAAACATGAGTGACATAATGAAGTTTAGAACAGGTGGGAAGCCATTCAGCACAATGTCTGGCTGATAATAAAAGTTCAATAAATGTTTAAATTAAATTCTGTTCAAATTTTTAAAGATAAAAAGTTAAATTTGACTATAAAAAATTATTAATTTATTGTTTTATGCCATTGGAAACCTGCCTATTTTTGCTTCAAGGCTGTTCAACTGTTAACATTTGAATTTTACTTGTTATCATTATTGACTTTTACTTGTTATCGTTATTGAATTTTACTTGTTATCTATAGTTTATCACTTTGAAACATAAAGTCGAAACACATTTAAGAATATTACATGCTTTCAAAACTTTCTTTCTATACTCTCTTTATAGGTTATATGTAAAGTGAGATGTGCCACTGAACTTGACAAACACAAGTAAGTTTCACGAGTAGCAAGATCTTTTTTCCACAGTAGAGTTCGCAAGGTCGAAGGGCATGGTGATTGGGGGTGCCATTGCAGTTTTATAAAAAAGCAAGTAGAAAGATTAATTCATAGGAAGTGAATTGAGTAACCCACAGTACTCTCCCTTCAGCCATATTAACCTTGTTTTGCCACTGTCCCGCTTCAGATGTCAGATATAATTTCGTAGTATCCACAAACACTAAAGTTAGATTATGTTGTTTGGGGCAAGAATGTATTGTATAGTTCCATAAAATAAATAATGTTTCAGTACTGATTAAACTTAAAAAAAAATTGGAGTGCTAAACTGGGAAGCCAAAAGACTGGGGTTTCAGGCCAATTCTCCCACTAATTTGTCAACTCTGCAACTCATTTAACCTCCCTATGCTTTGGTTTTCTAGACTATTATAATCACCTGGATATATGGATAATTCTAAGATCTGTTTTGCATTTCAAACTGTATAATTGTTTTTATTATTTAATCTGAGAGAATATTAAGGTCTAAACTTTTTTCTATTTATTTATTTATTTTTATTAAATTTAGTCAGGTGACATTGGCTTCTCAAACTAAAATCTTTGTACTTTGCATGTACACTTAACAAAGATTGTTTGTTACAAATTACACATTACTTTTGATTTACCTTGCGTAAACTATTTCCAAATTCAGACAGCATTTTATGATTCCCACTATTGAAAATGACCCAAGATAGAAGATATTAGGATGCCAAATAAATTTCTGTATCATATTTAATTTGGGGTATAAATCTAGCTGTACTGGGATGAAGATAGGTAGCTGTTGCAGCTACTTGATACAGATAGTCACACCTTCTCTGAAGGGTTTTTATGAGGTGGTCTAATTTTTCTTAGGGGGAAGTAGTAAAGCATTTCATTCTTAGAGTTGCTCTGTATGCATAGTAAATATACAACTTTATCGAAAGATGAGGTATTGATAAGTGCTTAGAAGTCTGCTGTCTCTAATATTCTAATTTAGTCATGTTTGAAAGTAACATTTACTATGAATAATCAGAAGTTCTTAAAATTGAACATTGTTTAAAACATATTTCCCTTACCTCTCAAAATTAATATTAGTGATCAATTTAAATTTAGAAACAGTTTATTAATTTTCCAGGCAAATTATAAAAACGTGGTAATTCTTGGAATGAAAAGATCAATGAAAATATACTTAGTAGTTATAAAAATGAAAAATTCAGGATTACTTGAATTAGCATTAAAATAGTCTTTTATTATTCTTCCTGGTAGAGACAACTGAATTCAAGTCCATATGAGATAATTTTAAATTAATGCTTTAAAGTCTAATGCCATTTTAAGATCCTTTAGATACTAATTTCATAACAGCAAAGATAGCCTAACTCTGAGTGATTATTAAATTTATATTTAATGAAATTATAAACATTTTAAATTGAAGGAATTATTGTACCTAAAGTAACACACTAATAAATTTAATTCCTCATTAGTTTTAAAAACATCTAATAAGCTCATTCTTTTTCTTTCAGGATTCTATTGCATTTGGGCTTTATGTTGGCAAGCCTTCTCTTTTTAGTGGTGAACTTGACTTGTGCAATGCTAGTCTATGGAGATGTCCCAGAAAATCAGTTGAAATGGACTGTGTTTGTTCGAGCATTAATTAATGATAGCCTGTTTATTCTTTGTGCCATCTCTTTAGTTAGTTACATATGCAAAATTACAAAAATGTCATCAGCAAATGTCTACCTCGAATCAAAGGTAAGTATATCTCTTAAATTTTCACTTGAAAAAAAAGCTTCAAATCTTCATCATATGAAGCATATTTTAATGGAAAACTTATATTTTTAAAAAGTATTCCCAATGTTGGTACATTTTTGAGCATGAAGGAATGGTCACAAGAAATTAAAAAGTATTCAAAACTTGGCCCTTACTAAACAATGGTTTAAAAAAAAGAAACTTATACTGAACATATGGTATTTTCTGTGACTTACATCCTCTGCATTGGAGGCTAATTAAATGAAATAAACCAGAATTTATTCAATGTATCACAAGTAGTTTAATATATAAAGCCACAGTAATAACTTCATATTTCCTCAGTAAGGGTGGCAGTATTGCCATTAAACAAATTTACCAGATTATGTCTATATACATTTGGGTTAACAATGTTAAGACGTCATACCAGTAAAATGATGTTTATTTGTATAAAGGTTTAGAAAATGCTACTTCACCCTATAATATGAAGTCCCTGTGAAATTTGAAATAGCTAGTTATGTAACTAAATTTATAAAAGGCTTGATTCTCCCTTTCCTTTTACTTTGGATAAGCAAACAGAAGCCAAACAGAACCATGGAAGTTTCTACTGTTGTTGATTGACAGTGTGGTTGAGCCACAAATCACTCATCACAATGTATGTGTGGCACTGAGTGTGAGGGTATAGATCTGTGGATATTGGGGTGTGGATTTATACATTAAATTTATAAATTAAACACAACAGTTCTCTGAAATATTTTTAGACTTCTATATTGTTGTTAGATAACAATAGTCCTAGTAAGGAAAGGTATTATAATTAAATGTATGGTAATCAACTCGTCTTTAAATTTAGGTGGAGACTTTAATTTTACTATTTAAACATATCAGTAGAATGTAGAATAAATATAGAAATATATTTAAAATACATAATATATAAATAGGGGAGAAGAAAGGGTGAGAAAGAGAAATGGAGATGTTGGGGGAGGGAGAGAGACAGACTTTCAAACCTATTAATCTTACATGGAAAATTATTTTATTCAATTTCTAAAAAGTTAATTCCTAAAATTTAAATATTTTGGTTAATTCTAGCTTCAGTTTAAGTGTGAAGAATAATACTGTCACTATTATGGTACATAATCTTTTAGTATAGCAAGAACATCTTCACTTAGTGTGATAACATCACCATAGAATTTATACCTCTTGCTTGTCTAGCGATAAAGCATAAATAGATGTGGTAGAATTTAAAGGGCTTCTTTTCTGGATACCTAGCAACTTTCTAAGTTTGGTTTTACTTGCTTTGAAATAGATAATTCTCTGAATATTGAAAAGTTGCCAATCTGAGAAGAAAAGTTCATCTGGAACTCCTCCAGAATTATTTCAAACATCTCCCCCTAACTATCATATGAAAGGTATTCACTTTTTAATGTTTTTTAAGTCTTAAATTTAAAAAGTGCCTAGATTCAGACTCTAGGAACACTACAGAGATACATGTTCAAATACATACCTATAAAGGTAAATATAACATGAGATACTAGATTATTTAATTATTTTTTACTCTTATGTAGTTCTTGATCTTTCCTAACTTGGTTATAAGCTTCTTTATTCAAAGAATACATCATGCTTTCATATTCTTCTTGTAAAATCACTAGGCTCATTTTTGTTTTTTGACTTCTATAAATATATACTGTAATAGCCATTTATTTTATTCTGTCAACAAATGTCTGTTAAGCCATCTACCTGCTTTACTTTCACACTGACACTGTTTCTTGCTATTCCTAAGAGCATTTCCTTAAGACCCAGACTCTGGTCTTCTCTTTTTCTCTTTTCATTCTTCCTTCCTTCTATATATACATAATAATAAGGTCCTCCATAATTTATCTTAAGCAAATCTGACCTACTTTATTTTTAAGTCACACATAGTATGCTTTACTGGCTCTATATCCTTAGGCTGTTTCATCTTCTAGGAATGCCTTTCCCCCTCCCAATGCTCTTTACATGTTTGTCCTTATCTTACCCAACTTCAAAGGCATAGCTCTAATGTTTCCCCTTTTTAGGAAGTTAATTTGGTCCCTTCTCCATCTCCAAAATAAAATTTAGAAATAACTCTTAACTGAATTCTCTTAACATTTTATTTTATTCTCTTAGTACCTAGTACAGTGCTGTGATTTGGTTCTCTTTTTCAAAGTAGCAACTCTAACTTGCTTTTTAAATATATTACTGTCAATTTGAATAGTTTATTTCTGCTCTTTCATCTTTTGATTTTCTTACATATTTAAAGTTTCTTTGTTCCATGTCTATATTCTTATACAGATACTTAATTTATTGTTTTGTAAACTAATAAAGTTATTTAGAGCAATATGTTTTCTCAAGTGCCGCTTTGGCAGCTTTCCATAATCTTGTAATGTAGCAGCATTCTTATTTAACAAAAACAAAGAGCATTTGCTGTTTGGATTTCAAACATGTCTCAAACATTACATATTTATACATCAGTGTGAATTAGATATTATCTCTCTGTATAGGTCTTCCTTCAACTCTCTTTAGCAGAAAGTCTAAAATTCAAGTATCTTGTTTTATTCAGGACCTGTAATTTCCATAAAGAATTACCAGTTTTACTCTCTGTTTGATTGTCCATGCATATGAATCTGGCCTACTAAACAATGTAGAATTTCTACACTTTAGATTCTTGTTAGAGAACATAAACTCTCAACTGTTAAATTCAAAAGCTTAAGTGCCAGAAAGATTACCTGAAGACGTATAGTCTGTCCATTTCCCTATCCTACATTTTATCCTCAGCCCAATCCAGATCATTGCAGTTTTGTACTAAGACTATATTGTACCCTGTATAGAATTGTCTTTCCCGATGTACACTTTGACATCATGCTTTGGCCTACATCAAGAAATATGTAAGAAGTATCTTGTAAGAAACATTTATCTTAAAGTCATCATTGTATAATAGTGTTTAGTATATTGTCTACACAATGTTCCCTAGAAAAGATCTTTTTTCTGTGATTCAGTATCAGGTAAAACAGTATTGATTAAATCCTTCTTTCCCCTGGATACTGTGTTGTTCAGAGACATTTATGTGGCTCATCTATCATAAGTGACATGATATCCACTTTTGGTTCTGGCTCCACCTCTAGTTTCTTCTCACTTTCTTACCACTAGCACCCCCTCACCACCTTCCACTGTGCACACACACACACTTATGTTTATTTATTTATTTATTTATTTTTTGTATCTCTGTAACTACTTCAGATTCTCTTTTGCAGTGAGGGTGGTATAATAAAAAAATGGGATTGGATATACTTTGGGATATGTTTGTATCTCTTTTTTCAGGTCTATCGATTTTTAAAATTAGTTTTGAAAGACCTTAGTGAGAGACAGTGTATCATAGTGATTAAGATCTGGAAACCTGGGATCAGAGAGAAAAGGATGTAAATCCCATCTCTCATTCTTACTGGCTGTGTGGCATTGTACAAGTAACAGCATCTCTAAACTCCACTCTCCTGATCTATAAAGTGGAAATAATAGTGTTGATCTCATAGATTGTTATGAGGATAAGAGGTAGTACCTGCCTTACACGGTTGTTATAAGGAGTAAATGCAAATGCACATAAAGTGCTTAGTATAGTAACTAGCACTTGAGAAGTTCTTATAAATGTTAGCTATTATGATCCTAATGTGTACTAGGGGATGGTAATGTAGCTTGAGAAAGTTCTTGAATACCTGAAATTCTTGGCAAAATTTATCTGGAGAGAGGTCCTATATATGTGATCACCTTCTCAAAAGGAGCAGTGATCCAAAAAAAAAAAAAAGAAGAAGAAGAATCACTGAAGAACAGGATTTCTCTTTTAAATATTTTATTTTAATCTTACTTGATTCTATCTTAATTATGTACTATTCCACCCAGATTTTAATAAGGGTTGACGTCTCTGACAGATTATATTTCTAGTAATGATAATTAGTTTTTCTTACAAATTTTGAAACAAATATTGTTGAAATTATGTAATAGCCTTTTATTTATTTATGTATTTATTTATTTTTATGTAGTAGACTTTTAAATAATATTTTTGTTCCTAAATCTACTGTATCATTTATTACAGTCTCAGTTTTATTTGCATGGTCATATCAGACTTAATGCTGTATTTTAACTTTTTGTCTATTGCTAACATTTTAAGTGTCTCATTAACTTTGACAAAATGTTAGTTTGTTTTTTATAAACTTTATAGGGTAAACAAATAGTTTATATTTATTGACATGGTTATTAGTATTGGTCTTTTTCTCCCATTAAGTTTTTTTCATTGCTGTTTGCTTTGCCTTCATCGGTATGATATCTGTGGTATATTTTATGTTATTTACTTTTTATCAATTATGATATAGCTATTAACAGTAAGATGCATATTGATAAAATTATTTGTATTATAATATTCATTTCAGAAAAAATAAAAAAACTTATAAGAATATAGAAGAAGACATATAATATTTAATAGAGAAAATAATTTAGCACAAAACTATTTAAACTGATGATAGAGGTTTAGTCCCTATAACAGTGAATTGGGATTATCTGTATGAAAGTTCACACAAAGGCAGGGTGAAAATTAAGCTTTTAGGTTTATATTTATTATTAGGAAAATGCACAATTTTATATCTAGATAAGAATGTAAAAGGAATCATTGTCTGATACTCAAGATCAGCTGTGTCCCAGCCTCATCAGCCATTTGCAATTTCTCTCCTGACTTCCTAAGAATTTTAATTACTATGTAAAACTTTCTGATCCATGTTCACTCAACCCTTGATCTATATTAATTAATCTGTTGGGATGGCAGGCAGCATCAGCATCTTGTGGAGACAGTTATATTCAGCTAAACTATATTTCTCATCTTTCATTCAGACCAGCTGATCCTATAGTGGTTTATTATAACTTAGGCCATAATTAAAGAAACAGACTAAAACACTATTAGTATTTCTCTTTCACCACCTTGAAATATGACTTAACCAGAATTTGGGGAG